ATCCCCTCCCTAACTCCCCACCTACACTCACCTTTACTGGCCCCATCCCCGCCTCTTCGACCTGTTTGTTTCCTCTCCACCTATCCTCTCCTCTATCCATCTTCTATCCGCCTCCCACTCTCTCCCTATTTATTTCAGAACCCCGTTCCCCTCCCCCTTTTCTGATGAAGGGTCTAGGCCCGAAACGTCAGCCTTTCTGCTCCTATGATGCTGCTTGGCCTGCTGTGTTCATCCAGCCCTGCACTTTGTTGTCTCGGATTCTCCAGCATCTGCAGTTCCTACTATCTCTGATCTGTTAACAAGATTTGCCCAGCAATCAGCCTATTCGTAGCCTGCTTACTATGGGGACCAGGTCCTAGATCAAGTGCTATTGAAATACATGTCTCAGATTTAAAACCTGACCAAAACGGAAGGGACATATGTACTTGCTACTGTTGACTTGTTGTCTCAGACATTTTAAAATGATAAAGAAAAGCAAAGGGAAAAGACTGGTCTTATTGTTAGTAAGGCAAAGTGTTAGTCATGTGATGTTGCCTGGTCAGAGAATCAGAACCTGTGGGCATTCACGACCTCAAAAATTCCTTCTCGCAGGGCCAGGGCAAGAGTCATAGGAGTGCACCGTGCTGCTGGAGGTCAGTTTGGGAATACTGACGGAATGGACATTCAACAGTCACTGGTTCAACATTACAACTCAGTCTAACACAGAAATGTGAAACAGAGAAGTTGGGACAAACTTTTTCCTGTAAAAACTTTAAATTTGCAGAGAGTGATGTATTTGGCGGCACAGTGGCTCAGTGGTTAGCACTGCTGCCTCACAGCGCCAGGGACCCGGGTTCAATTCCACCCTCAGGCAACTGTCTGTGTGGAGTTTGCACATTCTCCCCATGTCTGTGTGGGTTTCCTTCGTGTACTCCGGTTTCCTCCCACAGTCCAAAGATGTGCAGGTTAGGTGGATTGGCTATGCTAAATTGCCCATAGTGTTCAGGGGTCTGTAAATTAGGTGGGTTATAGGGGGAGGGGGATGGGTCTGGGTGGGACGCTCCAAGGGTCAGTGTGGACTTGTTGGGCCAAAGGGCCTGTTTCCACACTGTAGGGATTCCATGATTCTATGAAATAATGTGGCATAGGGTTATCAATTATGTAATGATATTAATAACAGTTATCTTTTCAGTACCTCTAGTATGTAACATTTAGTTTACACTGATTTCAAGTTGCATGTAACAGTAAAAGTCTTAAATTGGAATTGTGCCACGGAATTCCTTTAAGATGGTCACCAGAAGTACAATTTTTTAAGGAAAATTTCAGACTCAACTGGAATTGTATCATGTTATAATGTTGAAGCCTTTGGTAGTGGACTGCAGCCTTTACAACAGCTCATATACTAACATTTAAATACATATACTGGATGCTTGTAACAGCATGATTCTCGACCGGCTTTATTTTTGCAAGTTCTAATAACACTGCCCTAAAAATTTTTGCTTCGTAAGATGACCATGAGAGTTGAAAGGGCATTTAATTCGAGTTAATTCATGAAAAATTCTAATTTACCTTGGCAATAACATCTGCAGTTTCACGAAAATCATGACATCGTCCAACATTAGAACGAGCTAAAAAATCTTCTATCAGTCTGACTCCAATGTTATACCCCCTATGTTGAAACATAGACAAACCAATATCATTCATTTAGGAGAAAATAATTGCTTTAAAAAAGTCACCTATAAACTCTTCAAACTTGAGTCTCCTTTGTAAAATACTTGAAGTAATCTTTGATTAGAAAATACTTTTTAGATACAAGAAAAAACAAATTTCCATTGCTGCCAAAAGATGCAATTATCAACATGTCAAAACTCAAACATATCAGAACAATGTATACTTATTAACAGAGTCAGGTATTCAGAATGAATTAAGCTTATACTACTTTTGGATTTTGCTTTGTTATCCCAACTCGTTGAGCACTTCCATTCAATTGTTTTAAATTCTAAGCTTAATGCAATCACTGCATCACAATGTAATTAATTTTTTCTTTTAATCTCTTCAAACTTATTGTAGTGTACTGTAGACCTTGAACTTTCACCTTGGTTTCCCAATCAAGAAATAAAATGTATCAATGTTAGAATCCAAAAAAATGCATTTCTAATAACTTAAGTTAGATACAGCAAGGATATTCCCGAAGGTGGGCGAGTCCAGAACCAGGGGTCATAGTTTAAGGACTAAACCATTTAGAACTGAAATGAGAAGAAATTTATTCACGCAGAGAGTGATGAGCCTGTAAAATTCAGTACCACAGAAACTGGTTGAGGCCAAAACATTGTGTTTTCAAGTAAGTGGTAGATAGAGTTCGAGGCTAAAGGGATCACAGGATATGCAGGTAGGTCAGGATTTGGGTATTGAGCTCAATGATGAGCCATAATAATATTGAATGTCAGAATAAGGTCAAGGGATTGAACAGCCTATTCCTGCTCCCATGTTCTATGTTTCTACGTAACAGGCCATTTGCTTGCTCCAGAAAAGAGTTAACTATGGAAACAGACATAAGGCAGACAAAGCATGTGTGTATGGGTCAGCAATAATGTGAAAGTTTAATCTTTCAACACAAGACTCCTATACTCGCAGAGGTAGATTAAGTTTAGTGCAGAATCATTATATCAAAATAGAATTACAGCATATCTGGCAACTACAATGGGAAGTGCTTGCCCAGTATAAAGTGACTAAAGCATTCAATTACACTTACATTTTATCCAACTGCTTATTGACATCTTCATCATTTTCATAATCTTTACACAGTTGTGTAACTAGAGCTCCATAAGTCAACGTGAATAGCTCTGAATTCTGTCGAGGCAGGGAAAGAAATTCAGTAAAGTATTTGGAAACACCAAGAACTGCATCAACAAATTCCACAATTCTTACCCTCAAAATCTTAAGCTGGTTGTTGATCAATGAGATCAGCAGAAGTTTGTTAACAGGTTTGACAACGTATTGACTGCATTTTTAAAAAATGAACAAGCAACTTGCTCCTTTACCAAATTATTTACATTGTTGATTTATATTCAATTATTATTAGAATCAGCCAATACCAACAAGTAACTGGCAGGAAGTAAGAAGTGGGAAACTGGTTAAGAAATAAAAAATAAACAATTTTGATTTCTGGTTTCCTTTTTGGAATTTTTGAAGTATTTATTCATGGCACGGGGACATTGTTGGTTTGGCCAGCATTTGTTGGCCACCCCAATTATCTTGGACAAAGTCGTTGTGAGCAGGGTTCTTGAACAGTTACAGTCTTTAAGGTGTAGAAACACCCAGGTTGCTGATAAAAATGGTTTTGACTCAATACTTTGATACAGCGAAAATGAAGGATGGTGATATAGTTCTGAGTCAGGTTGGTGTGTGGCTTGGAGAGGAATTTACAGATGGTGTTCCCGCATAACTGCTGTCCTTGTTGCTCTAGGTAATGGAGGTTGCAGGTTTGGAAGGTGCTGTTGAAGAAACCTCGCTAAGTTACTGCTGTACATCTTGTAGATGGAACACACTGCCGTCTCCAGCAATCCAAGATATTGTCCAAAGTTTTCAATGAGATAATTGCAAAATAATCATGAGTTACTGCACTGAAATTTAATTTCCAAGCAACTGATCAGGTCAAACCAGTTGATTACAAATAAATGCACATGTTCACTGAATCAGTTATAGTTATTTTAATTAATGTTTGGACAGGTTATGACACACCTCAGTGAGAGCTAGGACTTGAACCCAAGCTTTCTGTCAAAGAAGTAGACATACTACTGCACTAACTTATACTATTACCAGCTTTGAGAGTATCACAAAAGAGTTTCATTGACAACTTTCAAGCTTCAGTAAATAGGCATAAACTGATGTGTTCATGTGCATTGTCAACTAAACAAATTGAAAAAATACACTTCAAAACATGTTTTATATTCTGAAACGGACCTGTATTTTTTTTTTCCAATTGTTGATTCATAATTTTTTTCTCAGACACTACACGACTTCCATGCAGTCTGATCAGCCGTTACATCAGACAATGGAGACAAGTTAATGGAGAAGGGTTTCAGCAGCACACTGAATTGGAAGTGGAAGTGGAAATACATTTTGATGATGATAGCCCACTATTTATGAATAATGGCTCAAAATTAAAGGGTTAATATAACCCAGGTTCAACTCAGTATTTATTGTCCATCCCTAACTGCCCAAGAGAAGGTGGTAGTGGTTTAAGGTGGCTCACTGCAGTCCATGTGAAGTTGGTATACCCAGTGCTGTAATGAGGTGACTTTTATGCCATAGCCATCACTAGGTCAAAGATATAGCTCCAAATCAGGATGGTACGTGGCTTGGAGGGGAACGTGAAGGTTGTGTTTCCACGCATCTGCTGCCCTTGTCCTTCTCAGTGGTAGAATTCACTGGTTTGGAAAGCACTGTCAAAGAAGCATTAGTGAGTTGCTTCAGCACATCTTGTACCTGACATACATGGTGCATTGGTGGTGAAGGGAGTGAATGTTGAAGATAATGGATGAGGTGTCAATAAATGGCCTGCTTTATCCTAGGTGGAGTTGCACTTGTAACACAATCTTACGAAGTAGGAGCAGAGGTAGATCATTGGTCCCTCAAACCTTCAAGATGATCGAAGAATTCCTAATAAGTTGATTAAACACTACTTCCCCTTCATGAAACTATGGACACTCGTCCTATTTACCATCAGTCTTCGTTTCAAGTGTGCAGTTATATAACCTCTTTAATGATCAATTCTACCACCTTCCCCACAACAGACATCAAGCTAATTGGTCTAAAGTTTGCCTGTTTTCTATCTCCCTACTTTCTGGAATAGAGGGGTAATATTTGCTACTTTCCAGTCTGATGGAACCTTTCCTTAATCAAGGGAACTTTGGAAAATTAAAATCAGCACATCCGCTACCTCATTAATCACCCCTTTTTAAGATCCTAGGATGAGGGCCATCTGTGCCCAAAGGATTGTCAGTCTGCAACTCCATCAGTGTTTTGTACTGTTTTCCTAGTGATTGGAATTTCACTTAGTTCTTCTCTCCCTTCCACCACCTGATTTACAGCTATTCTTTTAATTGTGGGCTCTCTAATGAAGGAGAAAAATGCTTGTTTCATCAGTCATTTCCTTATTATCCACTAACCCCCATCTCTCTCTCTCTCTCTCTCCAGGGAACCAGTCACTTTACTTACTCTTCTGTTTTTCAAGTAGTATTGCAACTCTTGAAATCTGTGTTGATATTTTTAACGAGCTTCTTCCAGGTTAACCTTTTTGTCACTTTCTGCAGTTCTTTACATTCTGACTAATCATTTGACTTGTCACTCATCTTTGTGCAGATATATAATTTTTCCTTAAGTTCGATGCTTTCCTCGACTTCTTTCGTTAACCACAGATGGTGGGTTCTCCTTTATGTTTCTTTATTGTCAGATGTTGGTGCAGCTGCACTCATCCAGGCAAATGGAGGGTATACTATCACGAACATGGGTTGTGCCTTGTAAATGCGAGACAGAATTTGGGAGAAACGAGGTGAATGATTCACCATAGAAGTCACAGATTGTGGACTTGCTCTTGTAGCCATTGTTTTTACACAGTTCATTAGTTCAGTTTCTGGTCAATGGCTGCTTTTTGGTGATAGCAGGGATTCAGCACTGCTAATGCAATTAAATGTCAAAGAGAGATGGCTAGATTGTCTCTTGTCGGAAGTGGCTATTGATGGTAAATAAGTGCCAGACTATGTTAGTTGCCACTTAGCAGCCTAAGCCTGAATGTTGTCCAGGTCTCGCTGCAGAAGGCCACAGATGCTTCAATATCTGGAGTTGCAAATGGCAACAAGCACTGTGCAATCATCAGTCACATCCCCCTTTATGATGGAGATAGGTTATTGATCAAGCAACTGAAAATGATTGAGTCTCGGTCACTAAAAATTCAATGCACTCACCCAAAACTCAGTGGCCCTGCTGGAACTCATTCCAATAGTAAATTGTTGATTGACCCAGCTGGTAAAGTCCAACTTTACAACCTTCATCTGCCTGAGGATGGGCCAGGAAAGATGTGTTCATTTGCTTCACAAGTGGAATGTGAGCAACAGCGGGTGGCACGGTGGTTCAGTGGTTAGTACTGCTACCTCACAGCGCCAGGGGCCCGGGTTTGATTCCAGCCTCGGGCAACTGTCTGTGCGGAGTTTGCACATTCTCCCCATGTCTGCGTAGGTTTCCTCTGGGTACTCCGGTTTCCTCCCACAGTTCAAAGATGTGCAGGCTAGGTAAATTGGCCGTGCTAAATAGCCCATAGTGTTCAGGGATGTGTAGATTAAGTGGGTTATAGGGGGATGGGTCTGGGTGGAATGCTGAGGGTCAGTGTGGACTTGTTGGGCCTAAGGGCCCGTTTCCACTCTGTAGGGATTCTAAGATTCTAAGCTCAAATTGTGGCTCTAATCATTTGTCAGACCATCACCCACATACCAAATTCTGCTCATGGAATTCGCCCCTGGTGACAGCACAGCCAATTTGTCAGCTGAAGGCATTGAACAAATTGTTAAACTTCACATCAAACTGAAACTGCCTCCCCAGACATACACATTTTTAATATTGCCAAGAATTAGGCAAAACTCTATACATTTTAATGAATTTCTACAGAGGGCAAAAAATTTAGGTCGAGCAATTTGATCCAATGCTTGGATACCAGTACAACACCACCATATGCAGTGACACAAAAGATTGGAGCAGGTCAAGAAAACGTAACTGACATTTTATTACTTTTATTTACATATCATTTTAACCCTAGCAGAAAAGAATATTAAAGCAGTATTTCATTGCGTGGCTGCTAAAGGTATATTGGTTCCACGTTTTATATAACCTTTTGGAAATGTGAGTATAAATCTTGCTATAGTTATTTATGAAACATACACGTGAAGCCTTCATCAAGAAAACATTCATTCAAAAAAAAACAAAGCTAATTAATCCACTTAGAGTCATCGAGACAGAGATATACAATACAGAAACAAACCCTTCAGTCCAACTTCTCCATGCCAACCAGATATCCTAAATAAATCTAGTCCCATTTGCCAGCATTTGGCCCATATCCCTCTAAACCCTTCCTATTCATATACCCATTCAGAAGCCTTTCAAATGTTGTAATTGTACCAGCCTTCACCACTTCCTCTGGCAGCTCATTCCATACATGCACCACCCTTTGCATGAGAACATTTCCCCATAAGTCCCTTTTAAATCTTTCTCCTCTTACCTTAAACTTATGCCATCTAGTTTTGGACTCCCCAACCCCAGGGAAAAGACCTTACTTATTCACCCTATTCATGCCCCTCATGATTTTATAAACCTCTAGAAGGTCACCCCTCAGCCTTCAATGCTCCAGTAAAAATAGCTCCAGCCTATTCAACCTCTCCCTATAGCTAAAACCCTCCAAAACCTGGCAACATCCTTGAAAATCTTTTCTGAACCTTTTCAAGTTTCACAACATCCTTCCTATAGCAGGGAGACCAGAGTAACAATAAAAGCATACAGCTATCCAGCAGAATGTTAACAAGGATCATGCACTTTTCTTTTTTAAAAAATAACTCAGATCAGAAATATGGTTTCCATAATATCATAGCTATGTTCCTGTTGGTTGCAGTTTAAAGCAGCAATTTTCATCAAAGTAATCCAAACACATTTCTTTAATGCATACAAAACTTTAAACGATGGTTGTAGTCTTCATGAAACAATCTCAATTAGCTTCACAGATGCTGGAAATTAGATCATGTTTTGAATTCAGGTTATAAATTTCACCTTGCACTTCATAATCCAAGGAGAAATCTAACATCGCA